TTTTAGCTGTATCATAAAGAAAGAAAATGTTTTCTTTGCGTAATTGAATTTTGGTAAATGTATGCCGAATTTTGATTGTCTGTTTGATTATTTTAATTAATTCAATTTTTGGAAAATTTTCATTTTTCGAAATGATCACCCGTCATATTACAATAATACTTTCTCTGTTTTATGTGATCGGGAACCCTCGGGTTTCTACCAGTTAGAAAATTGGAATTTTCCTATCCAACTCTTCCAGACAGAAATTTTGTTTTTAATCGTTCAGAGCACGAGCTGTTTTTGTATGTTAGGTTCATGAATTAATGTTATTTGTAACACATTTTTATTTATGTACCAAAAAAAGAGATAATTATATATATAACATAAGTATCGTGTATTTATGACGAAACTGATTAAGACTAGATATAATGCAATGTCTAATAAAAAAAACAACACTACAGGCTGGTGAACATAATCAGAATACTAAATCGATATAATTATCGTTTTATTACAAAATGCACACACTAGAAGTAAAAAGAGCAAAACATTTGATATGACTTTAAATAGGGAAAAAATACCAAAATACGTATGAAATCGAAAATATTTCTTTTTACATTTTCATGATATGTTTATATTTTAATATATGTTGATTGAATTTCCAAGCCTTTGTATTTTCAGCAAGACGAATTGATTGGTCCCCAACCATGGTTTTCTCCTCTACTTATTCTGATATGCACGAAGAATTGTAATGCACCATACCACATTTATCCTTTATATTGGTCACCCCCTTTAATATTCATTTATATAATTGATCATTTGTATTTAATTTTATTAGAAAAACCAAATACAGACCTTTTGATATGCTTATTGTTTTTCTTCATTTTTTTGTAAGAACTGTAAACTTTTTGAATATCATTTTTTTTAAGTTCGTTAAAAATACATCGGGAAGATGATATTTTCTTATTTTAATGTTGTTCAAGGCTTAAACAGCTAAATTATAGTTTTGTTTTCACTTTTAACTATCGAATCTATTTGGTTTCATGGAGTAGGATGACTGTTTAGAATGAAGAGAGCCTAAAATAATGCTAATACGATGGAAAGGGTCGTTAGTAATTGTGAGTCGGTGTATTGCTTCAAGTTTACTAGGTTCAAATGTAAGACATACTAACAACTAACTCGCTGTGACCTACCCTTCATATTTCCGCTGACTATGATGTTACCTAATTAGAAAGCCACTGATTGTCCTATATCCCTACTAGAATGATGTTATAAGCAAATAGGGACGCTGGCCGCTAGGCTCCTACTTTGTCTACAAAACACTCAACAACAAAAACTTTTTGGCACTTTTTATTTTTTTGTATTTTTGTGTATTTTTTAATTTTGTTATGTATAAATCTATGTACAGAAGGCATATAAATGATAACTTTGTAGTAATTGCTAACCAGTAGTCCATAATCATTACGAAGAGTATCATTTATAACGTTGTGTCCGATGTAAAAGCTTCTCTGAAGTCCATTACACTTTGACAACAAGAGTCACTTTCTCTTTTAATAACGATGGGGATAATAAAATAGGAACGTACGCCTGGAAGAAAAATTAATCAAGGTCAGGATATAATGTAGATGCACNGATAATAAAATAGGAAGGTACGCCTGGAAGAAAAATTAATCAAGGTCAGGATATAATGTAGATGAACTATCAGGTTCCTGTGTCCAAGGTGTCCATGTGCTGCTGACCGGAAAAGCGTTATCTCTAATATTTCGTGCCTGATCATGAAGAGACATATTAGATGTATCAAGTGATATAAGATACCTATGCGACCCTGAACTGCTCAGTAAAGGGTCGTTTGTGTTCACTGGTGATACCGTTGATGTCGTAACCGTCGTTTGTGTTGATATAACAGACGTTGTACACACTGGCTGTGAGCGTAAATGTGTCGTCGCAGCGGTGGTATAACTAGCATCAAACGATATCACTGGAGACTGACCAACGGGTCTTGGCGATGTAGCCGACCTTAACACCTGACTCTGAGTAGGCTGTACTGGCGACGCAGTCGATTGTATCACCGGAGACTGTGTGGTAGGTATTGGCGACGCGAATGTGAGTGTCATTGGATTCTGACTCGAAGGTAATGTTGTTGGCATTACTTGGTTATGTATGATATGTAATGGTGACGCAGTTCTTTGCATTACTGCATTAGGAATGGTAGGTATCGAAGAAGCTGTTGTTTGCATCATTCTATTCTGAATGGTTGTCGGCATCACATATAACGGTGGGTAAGGTATTGCCGACGCGGTCGTTTGTATCATTAAAGACGGTACAGTAGTCCCGGTTGCTTGCTTCCCTGCATTCTGTGAACTGTTTTGAGAGGTTTTCGCCTTTTTATTGTTGTCACGTGGTCCCGGACTCGAACCTTGCCTCTGTGTACAAATCATAGTTTTTAATTTAGCTATTATGATTAAAAAAATGAAGTGTTTTGTAATATTGCTGAAACAATACGGATTAATGAATCATAATTAATTACTTATCATTTATTATGTAAATTGCCTATTAACACACAATGGATAAGTGTATTTAAAACCACTCCTTATATTATTTACAAGAAAAAAAGACAACTACACTGTCAAATAATACCAAAGACTATCATATGTAACATGTTTTCAGAACGGGATTGAAATCAACATTGTGTAATGATGCGTAAGACGTTTAAACGTGTTACTTCATATATTTTACATACCAATTCAATATAATTTTAATTTACGTCGTTAAGTTATTTGAGTGCACTTTGTTTATGTGTGTTACTGTTGTAAGGTGTGACCTGTTGTCTTTGCTGTAGAAAATTTCACTTAATGTTTATTTTTAACGGTCACACAAATCATTTTTTTTGTCTACAACCTGTAAGTTATTATTCAGGGAGTCTGGGTGTAAGTTATACGCATGTGATCTATGAGTTAAAAAGGACGTATATGAGCGAGTATTTATTTCTTGACCATATTTAACGATTCTTAGACAAGGTAATATTCCGTAAAAGAATGTTACGTTACAAATGTTATCGTGAATAAAGCGGTACCTTGACATTCATGATGAACATTACCCATGTTTGCACAATTGGAAAACAAATATTCCTCTAAATTATGGAAGTAAAACTTCTTAGGCATATTCTTCAGCTCAGAAAAGCGATTAAGGTTATAATAATCCTTATTTTTAAACATGATTGTTTCAACCGTTTTTGCAGATTTTAACTCTAAATATAAACAGCTTTGCTGTTTAATTTGTAACTTATATTCAATTGATCAAAAGTAAAAATGAGAGAGACCGTGTGCTTGTATTTGCTATATTTTATCTTTATTGACTTTTTCGTTGTTGCATATCATTTGTTAATATTGAATATTATAAACTTTTAAAGCAACAGTAAATGGTCTACAGTTTAAACAAATTGCGACACAATGATAATTTTTGTGATTTATCTAGCGTAAATAAAGCATCAATATTGGCAATTCGTGAAGCGAAAAAAATACAGATTTTTTAAATGGCCGCCACATTTGTAATTTTTCATATCAAGCATCTAGTTTTTGACGCATTTTTAAATGCAAGTTTGCTTTTAAAAATGATCGTTTAACACGGTAACTTAACGCTTATTTTATTGTAGACATTTTTTACCTGGATATATGTACATGCACCGGTGCTAGTAATGCACACACAATAATGAAATAACACAAAAGTGTTTTTTGTTAAACTTATTACACATATCTTGCAGTAGGAGCTCACCTTTGTTCTTGTTGATTTATGTTCCAAGCACTCCCTAGCTACAGTAAGGGCGACTTCCTTTTTAATAGCAAAAATAAACAAACAAATATGTCTTTTTTATAACTCAAAAATACAATATGTCGAAATCACTATCGTAGGAAAATATATTTATAGATTCCAACGCTGTTTTTTGTGTTTTAAGGTTTCCACTGTTTCAATTGTCATTCTATTTTGTCCTAAATTACAAAAATCTTCCTCATTTCTTTTCCTTTTTTTTGTTATGTCACTATTTGTTTTATGAGAGGAACGATTACGAGGATATCGCTAAATGCCTACTTACCGCATCTAATGACTCCATAGAGCGGAACGACTTTAACTTCTTTAGAAAATCTGGCCGTTGTCCAGTTCTACATTTCTTTGAAATGAAATATTTGAAAGGTCTGTTATTTTTATCAACAAACATAAGCTTTAACCAGAGCGGTCACTGGAAAGATGTATTTAGACGAATAACGCAATTAAGAGGGGAAAAAAAACTTTATTTTTCATAAATTTCATAACGTTAAGATACATATGATCAAACCCAGTTCATGCCCATCCACCTGCTTACCCGCTAGTTAAGTTTCCCAATGGAATATTAAAGTAAAAGTGGAATGTTGTCACTGTACATACAAACTGCAGTATTAGCCTGCGACAAACCAATTAACTATAGTTATCTCATCTGGCTTACAAATGAACTTAACAATTATATCCTTAGTTACAGCGTAAATATATAGTTTTCCTCTGACCTTTAACTAGGCTACACTATCATTCTTTCCCTATCAACTGAACTAACGTTATAACATTTGACATGCAGCTTAACTTTGTGCTAAAGATATTAAACATTTTTGATTGTCATCTAAAAACACAGAACTGAAGTTAAATATTGGCATTGACTCCATTACGTATATATATGTTACTTTTTATTTTTAAGGTATCCTTATATATGTGAAAAATGTTTTTAAAACAAGGCTTTGTTTCTTATAAAGTTTCAAAATAGACACACCGTATCAAAAAAAATATAGGTGTACCATACAACTGTTTCGTCTGTTTAGTACTCATCGGTGATCCTAAATACCTAATAAAAAGTGAAATCCAAATTGGTCTAAAGTTCTATTGAAACAGATAGGGAAGGGCATGACACCTCTTGATTATATCATTTTTAATAATTGAAGGAGTGCTAAATAACTTTAAATGAATGATAAGAAAAGTGAACACATTAATCATTTTTTTTTATTATACATATCGAGATTACGACACACCTACAGGACTAAGAAATCAATCACCAGGGACTGCCACTTTTGACCTTAAAAAATAAATGTAAGATACACACATGTGATTGCTCCTATACTATTCAGTCATTGAAAGGTACCTTCCATGGTATATATATATATATATATATATATATATAAATGAGGTTCCCCTATTTATAGTATAGGTTAACTGTAACCAATAATAATTGCGTATGTGACGGCTTTCATAAGGTATGAAGTTTTCGACCTTAAACAACTTAACCTTTACAACGATATACTAAACTGACTAATTACAAAATATATTGTATAGGAAACAAGTGCTTTACCCATCACATTTACCAAATAGTTTCTACTCATCATCGTTATTTGTCTTGTATAACCATTTGCCAAGCACACCAAAACATTAACGAATTCCATTAATGTTCTGGGTTCAGGTGATTTATTTTCCGTAGATAAAATCAGACAGATGATTTGTCTGAAGGATAAATAAGATAAAGAACTTCCAATTTTTTAAGCATCTAGGGAAAACTAAATTATAAACAATACGTACCTTTTCAAGGTCGTCGTATACACTAGGGAGTCGGTTACATTCCAGACCAGAGGACATTTCCACTAAGGTAAATCCATAGGAACGCAATCTTTCTTGAAATATTTCCTTCATCAAAGGATATTCCAAACATGTCAGATCAAGTTTCATGAGTTCGCGGAGGCTATGACATTGGTTTATGATGTCTAAGTTACTGCTTTCTAATGCCATCATTTCGACACGAAACGCTTTTTTTTCACTTGTTGATAAGACTTTATCTATGCCTTTTTTATGAAGGCACGATATAGCTGCGAAAAGCATTGACCATTTCTCTGCTGTTGTCAGATTCATGTTTGGATTGACAAAACAAATGTCTTTAGGCCAAAATGTCGGCCGCTCCTTCCAGCTTATTTTTGTAGTTTTACATCCTATTTTATTATCGCCGTTATCGGAGGTTGCGTTATATTGCAACTTCCCAATAAGAAAACATGTAATGTTACGTAATGATGAGTCCACTGTAGCGGCAACCCCAGTCGCCATCTTGACTCACAAAAAGTTTTGCTTTGTAGTGCTCAAAGCTGATAGCAAAGATCAAAGTCGCCGTCAATAGAACGCTGTGAAGTGTCGTGACGCCCGAAATCGTTATCTGCCTGCTGTCTACATCATTGTATCTTTTGATATGTAATGATGTCCCCGGGGGGATCTGCAACGTTAAAAAAGAACTTAACATTCATGTGTGCAATGTTTAGAATCGTCATTCAATTAATCGGTTTTATGCAATTTCGTTCCCAGATATTATAAAAAAACTTCCGTATAGACGTCTACATTTTAGATGGTATTTTATCGCATTCATATGACTGTTGCATCAACCTAGAAGTTACCAAATGCAAAACGTTAAAAAAAAAAAATCAAATGTATATTTTGCAGCAGATTTTTCCTTTCTTCAGATATCAGGTCAAGAACATTGCGTGTTCCAAACAACAGAGAAGAACGTAACATTCCGGAGTTTCCTTGGTATTGTGCCTTGATGAAATCAAAACTTTTAAAATCGGCCATGTGTTCCAGAGCGTGTTTAAGAAGACATATTTACCTTTAAATCAAACACTCTTGGGACTCTTCGTCGTAAAAGATTACAGTAACGACTTTCGCCCATATACGTTCCCTGATAATATAAAAGTGTATATTACTTCGGTTTAGACATTTTAGATGATGTTTTATCGCATCCATATGACTGTTACATCCACCTAGAAATCACTATATGCAAAACGTTAACAGATAACTTAAAATATGTTTGTATCAGTAGATATTTCCTTTCCTCGAAAAAGCAAGACATGAACATTGCATTTACCAAACATCAGAAAAAACCACGATTCCGGATTTTCTTCAGCATTGTGTTGAATACGTTTTGATGAAATCAATATATTTCAACCACATGTATAAGACGTGTTTAAGAAGACATATTCATCTTTAAATCAAACACTCTCGGGAATCTTCGTAAAAAATTACAGTAACGATTTTCGTCCATTTTCTAAAATCGGTGAAATAAAGGATTTTCGAGATTCTGTGTCTATGCATTCCTGCAGACTGTTCTGTATTATATACTTAAAAATTAAAAAACGGGTATAAATACGAATGAACTTCGATGGTATTTGTCAGTACCAATAACCATATAATAAAATGTCCTGATTTTTTTTCAAAAGAGAGACTGCTCAACACAATTTTGCTTCCGTAAAAGATATTACACATTGGAAAATATTGTCAATAGAAATTCCCCTTTCCGTGTCATTAGTAAGGAATTTATTTTTTCCCTCATTCTAACTCGAACATTAGTTTTGAAACAATCATTATCAGCACAAATGTTCTAAGGCCAAAAGGTTGTTTTAATTGCCATAACACTTCGTTGTTACCTTTTGAACACTCATCCTCGGAATTCTGACTAGATGATTTTGGTCTATTCCGCAACAACATGTAATTGAAATCTGTTGATGTGTTTGGTACTTGTTTTTGTCCTCCTGTGATATAATAAAAATATACATCAATGAGTTTATGTTGTGTAAACAAACTCGTCAATTATCTTTTATAATTTTTACAATAGACTTAAGACATTACTGTTTTATTTTCATTGGCTACTTAAACTTAATTTAATTTATATCATACCTTCAACAAGTATAGTCACACTTTTACGAAGTAACAAAACAGTTACATGTACATATACATCATTGTTACGATTTGTTCCATGTTATTACGTTGTTGAGATGTTATGCTATTGGTTAGAGGCTCTAATATAAGTGTGATTGCATAATGCATTGCTAATTGCAAATTGTAACTCCTAATGTACTTTTATTTTCAGTAATATTCAACAATCCAATACGGCGTATAATATAAAGTATATTATTGCGTCTGATCAACATTATGGCGTTATAATCTCTCCAGCAACACACACAATCTCAATGGTAATTTCAGAAACAAAACAGTCCACGATTCCGCCAAAATGTACGATGTGGCGGAGATATCATATGATTCGTAAAACAGATATGATATGTTTTTGTTTTTGACTATTTTGTGTCTTTTTTAACAAATTAAAATTGTTGCATTCCCGAAATCGGAGCATAGCGTGTACATATTTTTAAAATTTTAATAAGATATGTTCTTCTCTCGTTATTCATAATAAATTGTACTTCAGGGGTTTCTTTCATAATTTGACTTTAAACCCAAATGAGAACCAATTACTATTGTCTATTTTCATATTTCAGACATACTAATAGTGTCAATTTCCTTTCCCGTATAATGGTTGAGAGATTACAAACACTTAAAACGTGTTTAGCATTGTCATAATAAAACAATTAGTATTGTTTTACCTCGAAGTGAACGTTTGACAAAATATGTTTGCGTTAATTCCGTACAAATATTATCTACTTGACACGTTGCTCTTATTTTATAACAATTCCTCGTTACCTCATTCTCCTGTAGCAAAGGCGGCATCCTCATTCCGCCAAGTATCCTTTTGTTCTTGCAATCAAAAAAAAAAAAAAAGTTAAAATGAATTGTAACAACCTTTAGGTTATGTCTTTCAATAATAAATACTACATTATGAAGTTAAAATTCCAATAAGCATATACGATATTTATAATCTTTTTCAATGTTTAGAAGAAAAAAAAAAGAAAAAAAAAAGTGTATTATTTTCATTGGCTTCTTGAACCTAATTAAATGTATATCATACCTTCAACAAATAAAGTCCAACTTGTGCAAAGTGTTGATACTTAATACATTGTTGAGATGTTTTGTTTTTTGTTAGAGGCTCTAATATAAGTGTGAATGAGTACTTCATTGCTTATTGCAAATCGTTTTTACCTCTTGAACAATCATCTTCAGAATTCTGACTAATTGACTGTTGTCTGTTCCGCAACAAGATGCCATTGGAATCTGTTGATGTGTTTGGTGTGTTTGGTACTTGAGTTTGATATCCTGAGATATAATAAAAATATACAAAATTATTTTGACGAGAAAGTTACTTTACATTAAATTTTAACACAATGCAGGTTATGTCTTTTACTTAAAGTTGCTACATTATGAATTTTGAAGTTTCAATAAACATATACGATATTCATGATGTTTTTCATTTTTACAATAGACTTAAGACCTATTTGTGTTATGTTCATTGGCGTCTTAAACTTAATCAAATATATATCATACCTTCAACAAATATAGTCACACCTTCACGAAGTGTCCATTGTTATTACGTTCTTGAGTTCTTATGCTATTGATAAGAGGCTATAATATAAGTGTGATTGCATAATTCATTGCTAATTGTAAATTGCAACTCCTTTTGTAATTTTGTTTTCAGTAATATTCAACAATCCTATACGGCGTATAATATAAAGTATATTATTGCGTCTGATCAACATTATGGCGTTATAATCTCTCCAGCAACACACACAATCTCAATGGTAATTTCAGAAACAAAACAGTCCACGATTCCGCCAAAATGTACGATGTGGCGGAGATATCATATGATTCGTAAAACAGATATGATATGTTTTTGTTTTTGACTATTTTGTGTCTTTTTTAACAAATTAAAATTGTTGCATTCCCGAAATCGGAGCATAGCGTGTACATATTTTTAAAATTTTAATAAGATATGTTCTTCTCTCGTTATTCATAATAAATTGTACTTCAGGGGTTTCTTTCATAATTTGACTTTAAACCCAAATGAGAACCAATTACTATTGTCTATTTTCATATTTCAGACATACTAATAGTGTCAATTTCCTTTCCCGTATAATGGTTGAGAGATTACAAACACTTAAAACGTGTTTAGCATTGTCATAATAAAACAATTAGTATTGTTTTACCTCGAAGTGAACGTTTGACAAAATATGTTTGCGTTAATTCCGTACAAATATTATCTACTTGACACGTTGCTCTTATTTTATAACAATTCCTCGTTACCTCATTCTCCTGTAGCAAAGGCGGCATCCTCATTCCGCCAAGTATCCTTTTGTTCTTGAAATCAAAAAAAAAAAAAGTTAAAATGAATTGTAACAACCTTTAGGTTATGTCTTTCAATAATAAATACTACATTATGAAGTTAAAATTCCAATAAGCATATACGATATTTATAATCTTTTTCAATGTTTAGAAGAAAAAAAAAAGAAAAAAAAAAGTGTATTATTTTCATTGGCTTCTTGAACCTAATTAAATGTATATCATACCTTCAACAAATAAAGTCCAACTTGTGCAAAGTGTTGATACTTAATACATTGTTGAGATGTTTTGTTTTTTGTTAGAGGCTCTAATATAAGTGTGAATGAGTACTTCATTGCTTATTGCAAATCGTTTTTACCTCTTGAACAATCATCTTCAGAATTCTGACTAATTGACTGTTGTCTGTTCCGCAACAAGATGCCATTGGAATCTGTTGATGTGTTTGGTGTGTTTGGTACTTGAGTTTGATATCCTGAGATATAATAAAAATATACAAAATTATTTTGACGAGAAAGTTACTTTACATTAAATTTTAACACAATGCAGGTTATGTCTTTTACTTAAAGTTGCTACATTATGAATTTTGAAGTTTCAATAAACATATACGATATTCATGATGTTTTTCATTTTTACAATAGACTTAAGACCTATTTGTGTTATGTTCATTGGCGTCTTAAACTTAATCAAATATATATCATACCTTCAACAAATATAGTCACACCTTCACGAAGTGTCCATTGTTATTACGTTCTTGAGTTCTTATGCTATTGATAAGAGGCTATAATATAAGTGTGATTGCATAATTCATTGCTAATTGTAAATTGCAACTCCTTTTGTAATTTTGTTTTCAGTAATATTCAACAATCCTATACGGCGTATAATATAAAGTATATTATTGCGTCTGATCAACATTATGGCGTTATAATCTCTCCAGCAACACACACAATCTCAATGGTAATTTCAGAAACAAAACAGTCCACGATTCCGCCAAAATGTACGATGTGGCGGAGATATCATATGATTCGTAAAACAGATATGATATGTTTTTGTTTTTGACTATTTTGTGTCTTTTTTAACAAATTAAAATTGTTGCATTCCCGAAATCGGAGCATAGCGTGTACATATTTTTAAAATTTTAATAAGATATGTTCTTCTCTCGTTATTCATAATAAATTGTACTTCAGGGGTTTCTTTCATAATTTGACTTTAAACCCAAATGAGAACCAATTACTATTGTCTATTTTCATATTTCAGACATACTAATAGTGTCAATTTCCTTTCCCGTATAATGGTTGAGAGATTACAAACACTTAAAACGTGTTTAGCATTGTCATAATAAAACAATTAGTATTGTTTTACCTCGAAGTGAACGTTTGACAAAATATGTTTGCGTTAATTCCGTACAAATATTATCTACTTGACACGTTGCTCTTATTTTATAACAATTCCTCGTTACCTCATTCTCCTGTAGCAAAGGCGGCATCCTCATTCCGCCAAGTATCCTTTTGTTCTTGAAATCAAAAAAAAAAAAAGTTAAAATGAATTGTAACAACCTTTAGGTTATGTCTTTCAATAATAAATACTACATTATGAAGTTAAAATTCCAATAAGCATATACGATATTTATAATCTTTTTCAATGTTTAGAAGAAAAAAAAAAGAAAAAAAAAAGTGTATTATTTTCATTGGCTTCTTGAACCTAATTAAATGTATATCATACCTTCAACAAATAAAGTCCAACTTGTGCAAAGTGTTGATACTTAATACATTGTTGAGATGTTTTGTTTTTTGTTAGAGGCTCTAATATAAGTGTGAATGAGTACTTCATTGCTTATTGCAAATCGTTTTTACCTCTTGAACAATCATCTTCAGAATTCTGACTAATTGACTGTTGTCTGTTCCGCAACAAGATGCCATTGGAATCTGTTGATGTGTTTGGTGTGTTTGGTACTTGAGTTTGATATCCTGAGATATAATAAAAATATACAAAATTATTTTGACGAGAAAGTTACTTTACATTAAATTTTAACACAATGCAGGTTATGTCTTTTACTTAAAGTTGCTACATTATGAATTTTGAAGTTTCAATAAACATATACGATATTCATGATGTTTTTCATTTTTACAATAGACTTAAGACCTATTTGTGTTATGTTCATTGGCGTCTTAAACTTAATCAAATATATATCATACCTTCAACAAATATAGTCACACCTTCACGAAGTGTCCATTGTTATTACGTTCTTGAGTTCTTATGCTATTGATAAGAGGCTATAATATAAGTGTGATTGCATAATTCATTGCTAATTGTAAATTGCAACTCCTTTTGTAATTTTGTTTTCAGTAATATTCAACAATCCTATACGGCGTATAATATAAAGTATATTATTGCGTCTGATCAACATTATGGCGTTATAATCTCTCCAGCAACACACACAATCTCAATGGTAATTTCAGAAACAAAACAGTCCACGATTCCGCCAAAATGTACGATGTGGCGGAGATATCATATGATTCGTAAAACAGATATGATATGTTTTTGTTTTTGACTATTTTGTGTCTTTTTTAACAAATTAAAATTGTTGCATTCCCGAAATCGGAGCATAGCGTGTACATATTTTTAAAATTTTAATAAGATATGTTCTTCTCTCGTTATTCATAATAAATTGTACTTCAGGGGTTTCTTTCATAATTTGACTTTAAACCCAAATGAGAACCAATTACTATTGTCTATTTTCATATTTCAGACATACTAATAGTGTCAATTTCCTTTCCCGTATAATGGTTGAGAGATTACAAACACTTAAAACGTGTTTAGCATTGTCATAATAAAACAATTAGTATTGTTTTACCTCGAAGTGAACGTTTGACAAAATATGTTTGCGTTAATTCCGTACAAATATTATCTACTTGACACGTTGCTCTTATTTTATAACAATTCCTCGTTACCTCATTCTCCTGTAGCAAAGGCGGCATCCTCATTCCGCCAAGTATCCTTTTGTTCTTGAAATCAAAAAAAAAAAAAGTTAAAATGAATTGTAACAACCTTTAGGTTATGTCTTTCAATAATAAATACTACATTATGAAGTTAAAATTCCAATAAGCATATACGATATTTATAATCTTTTTCAATGTTTAGAAGAAAAAAAAAAGAAAAAAAAAAGTGTATTATTTTCATTGGCTTCTTGAACCTAATTAAATGTATATCATACCTTCAACAAATAAAGTCCAACTTGTGCAAAGTGTTGATACTTAATACATTGTTGAGATGTTTTGTTTTTTGTTAGAGGCTCTAATATAAGTGTGAATGAGTACTTCATTGCTTATTGCAAATCGTTTTTACCTCTTGAACAATCATCTTCAGAATTCTGACTAATTGACTGTTGTCTGTTCCGCAACAAGATGCCATTGGAATCTGTTGATGTGTTTGGTGTGTTTGGTACTTGAGTTTGATATCCTGAGATATAATAAAAATATACAAAATTATTTTGACGAGAAAGTTACTTTACATTAAATTTTAACACAATGCAGGTTATGTCTTTTACTTAAAGTTGCTACATTATGAATTTTGAAGTTTCAATAAACATATACGATATTCATGATGTTTTTCATTTTTACAATAGACTTAAGACCTATTTGTGTTATGTTCATTGGCGTCTTAAACTTAATCAAATATATATCATACCTTCAACAAATATAGTCACACCTTCACGAAGTGTCCATTGTTATTACGTTCTTGAGTTCTTATGCTATTGATAAGAGGCTATAATATAAGTGTGATTGCATAATTCATTGCTAATTGTAAATTGCAACTCCTTTTGTAATTTTGTTTTCAGTAATATTCAACAATCCTATACGGCGTATAATATAAATAATCTAGTTGCGTCTAATAAAACATAATGACGTTAGAACCTGTTCAACACACATACATTCTCAATCGTATTTTCAGGAGCAAACAGAGTTCCGCAATTCCGCCAAAATGTATGATGTGGCGGAGATATCATATGATTCGTTAAACAGATATAATATATATATTTTTTTGACAATTTTCTATCTTTTCCAACAAATTACATTATTGCGATCTCCAAATCGTATCAGAACGTGTTTATATTTTCTGATTAATCAATTATATGTTTCTCTCGTTTGTTTCGAAATAATATTTTCTACTGGGGTTTCTTTCATTAATTGACTTTTAATGTATGAGAACAATTTAATACTTTCTATGTCAATGGTCCAGACATATTGAAAGTGCCTATTTTCTTTTTCGTATATTTTTATGAGAATACAAAAATACTTAAAATGTGTATCGCATTGTAATAAAGAAACATTCATAATAGTTTTATCTCTAAGTGACTGTCAGATAAAATATTTCTATGTTAATTTCTTACAAATACCCTCTGTTTGACATGTAGTTTTTTTTTATAAAACTTCCTCGTTACCAGTATAAACATCACCAAACATATACAATGACAGCCGGTGCCCCTCCCACTTCTCTACAATTGTCATAGGGCAGAGTGCTGTTGGTGCGACGATGCGAATCGAGAACCGTAAACTCAAACAGGAACCGAACTATAATCTTATCTCAAAATGCAATTTTGTATGATTTGTATTTCTTAAAATGTATACTCCATATTACATCTAAACTATTTTGATGAGAAAATCACTTTTACAATAAATTGTTACACCATGCATGTAATGTCTTTTACATATAAATGTTACATTGTGAATTTAAAGATTCAATAAACATATACGATATTCTTTTTTACATTCCGTATAATTTGTTTGAGAATAAACAAATACTTAAAATGTGTATTGCATTGAAACAATGAAACAGTAAGAATTTGTGTACCTCTAAGTGACCGTATGATAAAATTCCGTCCAAATATTCTGTTTGAAATATAGCTTTTATCTTATAGCACGTCCTCTGTACAATGTTGAAGGTAAAAATATAGCCAAATCGTAGGCACCCAAGTGCGAGCTTCCGATCAGATCCATACTGTAAAATCAAACAGGAACCAAACTTTTAATTTATCTCAGAATGGAATGTAATATGATTTGTAGTTTTAAAATAATATACTCAATATTCCAACTTAACTATGTTGATGAAGAAATGTTACTTTTACAACGAATCTTAATACCATTTGGATGATATCTTAAATTTATATATATATATAATGTTCCAATTAAAATATACGATATATATGCATAATTATTTTCAAATTTTACAAGAGCTTTAGGAAATATGTGATTTTATTTGGATAACTTCTCAAACTTAATGACACAAATACAGTCAAACGTTTGCAAACTGTTGATTCTTATTACATTGTTCAGACCAAAAGATGTTTGTTAGAGGCTTAAATATAGGTGAGATTGCATAATATATTGCTAAATGCAAAATTATAACTTCCAATGTAATTTGATTTGCATTAATATGCCACAATTAATATGGCGTATAATATAAATATAATTATTGCGTCTGGTCAACACAAAGGCGTTAAAATTTATAATTTCTGCACACAAAATCTTAATGGATTTTTCAGAAATAAAAGAGTTCGACGTTTCCGCCAAAATTTATGATGTCGTAAAACAGATGTGAGATAAAAAAAAAATATAATTTTCTTTTGTTTTTAAACAAATTACATTATTTTATTCTCAAAATGGAAAGCTCCCTTGCCTTGCCTCTATGTTAAATGCAACGAGACAAGACAACGTTTGTCATAAATAGTACGTTTTTAAACACAATGTTATACATTTGTATTACTGGGGGGGTAAACAATACACGGGTTTCTGCTCATTTTGAGCATAACAAATGTACTGATGTTTTGTTTGGCAATTTCAATCGTATATATCCATATTGCAAAGAAAGGCGTGGGAGCGCTGACGTTTGACTCAATTTTTAATTGAATTACTTTGGGTTGTATGCAGTGATTCATCTTATTTTCTAGCAACAAATTAAAAATAATAATAAAAATATGATATTTTTAGTGCTGAATTAACAAATTGTATATGCATATGTGTAGTTTTTTTAGTATTAAAATAAGAGATTATTTGTATTTTGTTTTTGATTTATTTCAATTATCCCAATGGTTATAAGAAAGATTATGTTACTTGCGAACCCAATAAAACGTCTGGTGTCTCTAATATAATTCTGAACAGTCTCCACAATATTTCTATTCATATTTACGTCTTGTGATTGAAAACCGTAAATAAAAGCATGAGTATTGAGTAGAGAGATTGTGGATCCTTACATATATCAACGATTGGGTCAGGGTCTTTAATACCAAAGAGCCTGCATGACTGATATTTGCTTCCTTTTCAAAATAGAAAATGTCAGGACAGGCCGGCCTTTGAAAGAGGGTTGATCATGATAGTTTAATCTCTTAGTGACCGTTTCAAAACACCCCCGCAAACGAGATTTGCTAAAGGACAAACAAAAACAAATCAATTCACACCTAAGATCTACCTAATAACTTCCAAGCACTTGATCCAGATGTTTCGCTGAACTTATTTAATCTTAAAAACGTTCCAGCAAATAGCAGCTGATAATAGAAAATCCTCTTAAAATATATCCATGGTAAATTAACACAATACGACAAACGTCCATAGAGTCAGATATAATAAAAACGATGCAGCTTGATGTGAAATAAAGAAATATAGTCATCCCGAAACAAAATGTTTCATTTTCCTTGGTTAAATATATCTAATAAACATATTTATTGTAAATTATATAACTCGGGATTCGAAAATGTTAGAAGATAAAAAATAAAGTCGGGCTACCAGTAGCTTTCGTTCATCATTTTCTCACCCTCGTTATATATTCCACAAAAAATACACACACATACATTGAATATTAATTAATTAGACCAACAGTTAGTCTTACCATGTTAGGATCTGCTCCTTCTTTCATTAGTGACTCACTCTTTAACTCAGATGTGGCTGATTGTAAGAGGACCTGTGAAGAAAATCATATCAAATATATGTTTGTTCTGTAAATGCAACCCGAAAATATTTCCCTTTGTGTGTTACGTCTTAATATAATTGCAGCGGTATCCTTTTAGAAATTGCAATGACTGTCAAGAAGTTTTATACTTATGAATTCAATTAACACAATACGACAAACGTCCATAGAGTCAGATATAATAAAAACAATGCAGTTTGATGTGAAATAAAGAAATATAGTCATCCCGAAACAAAATGATTCATTTTACTTGGTTAAATATATCTAATAAACATATTTATTGTAAATTATAGAGGAATATATAACTCGGGATTCGAAAATGTTAGAAGATAAAAATTAAAGTCGGGCTACCAGTAGCTTTCGTTCATCATTTTCTCACCCTCGTTATATATTCCACAAAAAATACACACACATACATTGAATATTAATTAATTAGACCAACAGTTAGTCTTACCATGTTAGGATCTGCTCCTTCTTTCATTACTGATTCATTTTTAACGTCGGATGTGGCTGATTGTAAGAGGACCTGTGAAGAAAATCATATCAAATATATGTTTGTTCTGTAAATGCAACCCGAAAATATTTCCCAATGTGTGTTACGTCTTAATATAATTGCAGCGGTATCCTTTTAGAAATTGCAATGACTGTCAAGAAGTTGTATACTTATGATTTCAATTATTTATGTTACAGTTATTGATTATTCAGATGTTCACTGGCGAAACGATCATCATGTTTTTCTGTTATCTTTGGTTTTGCTAGCATTTTGCTTTCCCTTTCGCTTATGTAATATAACATTTTTAAACTCACTTTTTTATCCCTTTTACCTATTCTACATCACTGTTATCTTAATACTGTATATTTTTTCAAATTGCATATGTACACTCACATATGTATCTTACGTTCGTCTTCCAAATGCAAATGTACATTTTTCTTGTTCCTGCTCCTTTTTTATATCAAATTGTATTTGCATATATTTATGACTGTAAATTAACACACACTCTTTCCCTTTTACCTTAAATGAACTAGATCCAGATGAAAAAAGCCATCTATGAATAACTGCTTTCACATACACCTGGTTTCGCGTGTTTTGGGGTTTTTTTTTCCTTTTATTTTTTGCGAACACCTCTCTGCATTATGCATCGTAAGGAATATGCAAATGTGTACACTATTCTGCGATTGAGACTTTAGGCAGGGAAAGTATATTAGCTTACCATTGCAACAATTATGATTTTCAACCCGATAGTCCTATCCGTCATTTTCATTGAAGGCACTGAAAATTAAAGAGAATGCAAACAGCTTATGTTTTTATCAGATAGTGTTAGCAAAGTAGGAAAAACCTAAACACAATGCAAAAAAATAGCAGAATAACATTTTACTCGTAGATGAGCCAATGCATTTTATACCACTTCCTCCCTCCTTCACAGTATTTTTGATTTTCAAAAAGGAGGTAAAACATATAAAATATATTTTCTTTTAAATTTTGCACAGTGCGTGTGTTTAAAGAAAACACATTGAAAAAGTAACATACATTTTGTTTTAAATGATAACCCATGCCCTTCATGTTTTATATACAATTAAAAGATGTGGATATCAGATCGCTTCGTATAAATATATAGCAAATACAAATTAGATTGATAAACCTGAAAATTTGCTTGAAAACTGCAACATATTTTTGTATGTGTTAAAGATGACATCAGTTTCCGTTTCAGCGGATTATTCCATATTAAGGGTAAAATTTTGCAATAAGAAAGTAAAAGTGGTAATGTACAATTTTTAAAGTTATTTTTGTGTTTTTAAGTGAGTTCGACATTAGACCAACGGCAAAGGCACTAAGTTGATCAAATTATAAGATGCTTTACAATTTAAGTAATTATTTAATCGCGTTGTGAGCAATTTCCTCCTGAGACAGGTCTCACATATTCAGTTGTGGGATCCCACAGCGTTATAGGATGTGCGATGTGCGCATGGAGTGTGCATGAAGGGTGAACAATTAAAATCCGGCCGATTATTGCTTGCGCACATTTGGGCGTACGATGGATGAACGTTTTGCGGTGACAATCGTGGTTGATGTAAATTGAGAAATGGCCTAACAATATATAGGGCTTCGTGTCTAAACATATAAACTTTATTCTAAAGTACATTTCAATGCTAGCTACATCAATAAGCTGATCTTTCTCTCGATATTTTCTTAAATTTAGAAATTGTTTTTTCGGTGTTTTTTAAACGACCAAAATCGACACATGTAAAATAACACATATTGACACGGTCACGTATATGTATATGTACCTGGACCGTAGTTTTCCCAACGTAACACGCCGGGGTGTGAAAATACAGATGAAGGGGAGCTATAGACTTAAACGAATGCAAATAACAAATATCTAACGTCCAGTTGTGTTTTCATAATGTATCACATATCAGCTCTATTTGTCAGGCACAGACCAGGTAACACTCAGGTCAATCATCAAAACGTTATTTACCTGTTCTGTTATATGGGAGCTAAACCCATTCTTGACACTTTCCGGACACACAACTGTAACCATTTATCATTAAGGCTTTTTCTATATATTCGACTAAGGAACAATTCGTTGAATATGGCATATGACCATGTATGCAATTAGAGCCAATTTACTTTCTGTAGGCGGTCTTGGATTCAACAAATAATTCCAAATAAAGCAATTGTATATGTATACAATATGGTTGTACTAACTGATATACTAAAATAATCAATTAGAACCCATGATATTATTTAAAATAAATTAAGAGCCAACCCTTAGAAATAACAAACTGAATATTTTTTTTTTTTACCAAAATCAAACAATATCATCCGTTTCGCATCAATTTGTAGCAAAGCATCATTGTCGGATTTTGATAGCCAACCCTACTCATTTATATTCTCATTTATCAGTGTAATACTTATCAGGATTGAATGAAACAAAGAGAAACATGATTTGATGTAGCAACCTGATTTCTTACACCACAAAATACCCATATTAAGTAAACACATATCCTATTTGAAGGCAGTTAATGTGAATATGTGTTATCAAGAAAACAAGTTCTTTGACCAATGGGTACCAAAACATACTAAATAAATAAGTAAAATAAAATCATTAAATGGCAGGATAGATTTTTTTTTTCATTAAATACACTATTGTATATAATGACCATCGAGTTAACTCCAATAAAATAACTTTGCTCGTGATCAATTATAAATTATTTATAAAAGGTTCAAAAATATTTCCCCAAGGAAAACAACATATACTCAAAATGTATAACTCAAATAATAGTCCTGTCGATATCTTCCAAAAGCACAACACTTTGCCTGTCTCGTTTTACGTTTATTGATAAAATATTGACATGGGAACACAAGTCACGTTATAAAGATATAATAACTCGATGATGCCTCTGTGTAAGAATAATATTGATTTACTTTAACGGTAATCCCAGTATGACATTAAGTTAAAAATTCCTAAATCTATCAATAGCTTTGCTTATAATTTCGGTCAAAGTCTTTATCTTTCGAGTCAGAAAAAAACTATGTAACAGCATTTCAATGATGGTTGCTTTTTGTGTTTTAAGCCGTTTAATATTCATTCTCTCTATCTAATTCGCTGAAACTGCATAACCATAAAATAATCCATTCTGTTCAAGCTACACATTTTCTCTTATTATTTTTCATTGAAAATTATCCTGCACGTAGCTCAAGTATTCTGACGTTCAAAGTGTTGTTAAAACTAGCCTAGTAGTTGGTGTTTGTTACTGTAGGCACTTATTGGTACATTGCTGATTTATAAAAATAGGTGACTTTTTTTCATACACGAATTTTCTGTCGCAAGAAGACCTTTTAAGATAATTACCATGTTGAATTACATGAATTTGAAAACAAATTATCCTACACTTAAGTTTACGCTCCATGAACATATCAAATTGTATTACTGTTTTTTGGTCAATTATCAACAAAAAACCCACCCCTCGGGAAAAAATAAAAATCGCACGTTATGCAAATATTTTTTTGTAGAAATATGATATATACAAAATATCACTGATTGTCATCTAAACAAGTACACGTAAAAATATAGTTAATGTTGTGTATGACATATACATAAGTTACTGCTATACCGTAACATTTAACCATATCAGTATTGAATCGATCTACTAGTACAAAAATACATTATTACATTATTTAGCCTAAAACAATTCCATTAAATAACAGTTCGTTTAATTAGACCCCTCCCTCCAATCTACCTCTCCCTAATGCTGCTTTATCTTATTTTTTTATCGTTGACCCGGAACCCGATATATACGTCGGGCTTCGGGTCGGTGGAACAGTCGAGCGGTGTCGATCCAGTGCTTTCTCCTGGATATGAGATTAAACGATTATGCGCGCATGTGTTCACTGGCCAAGCAAACCAGCGTGTTAGTGGTTTGGCGATCCAAAATCCTGGCAGAAACGGACAAGGCTAGGGTTTCCATTTGGGAGTGTTGATTTTGCCAAGATGGACAAGTGCTCGGCTAAGAGGCGTTCCCATTCGGAGTCATCTGAACTTTGACTTGAAGTGGTTCCCTTTGCCAAGCCAGTGTCTACGGCCAGAAGGGTCTTCTTCGGATGGCAGTTGAAGCCGATATTGAGGTGTTTGCTGATACTTCCAATCTTATTGCATGTATGCGTGCGCTTCGTGTGGACGCTATCTTAATTGTCGGCGAGGATCGCCACCTCAATGGGCGTAATCGGTCCCGTAAGCGACCAACCCTTGTGGTTATCCTTTTACATTCTTTATAATTGTGACTTCTGCACTGACTGCCTCTCGGGCTCGTGTGGTGTAAAAATAATCATTCTACTACTCTTGTTCCCGAGTGTCCGAGCTGCAAATCGAGGTGGCTGACTTCGGATTTTACCTATCTGATTACGCTTTCCCCCAAGGTCAACATTTTAGCTGGAGTTGAGGGACTAGCGTGTGTTTCAGGATGAAGACATTATACAGTCCAGATGATGTCTCGTCACTGCCTTCAAATCTTGTTCTTCGTGGACTTCTTTAATCTCTCCTTTTACAGACTCTGATCTGCTTCAGGATCGATTGACTGATGAGAAGCAAGATATACAGGACAAATAACGTCTAGTCTGAACTCAGCTTAACGGGAAGTTGCTGCCTTTCAGCTTCGTTACATGCAGCTGAGCTAACCTTGCCGTTCTCACCATTTTTGGACCAAATCAATCGTATTGTTCATTGACGCTCTACCTACTGCATAAGGACTTCAAAGAGAAGTCCTTTGCATTGTATGTTCTTTTTCAGAAACCCGTGTCTAGCGGTGTAAGCTCTTTGCAGGGTGTCGGTTCTTAATATAATCCCCCACAGCTTTCTGCTGTGAGTAAGTCTAAGACGGTATTCAAAGCTGGCAAGTGGTTCTTTGCTCAATTCTCACCTGCTTATCCACTTGTGAAATAACATCGAAAAACATCAATAATTTTCCTGAAAAAAGTAAGGAAATTCTTTATTTTAATTAAAAAATAACATTGATCAATAGAAAGGTAGATATCATGGCGTTAATCAAAGTCCAATACTCTGACAAAGTTAGGTAGTTTAACATTTAGGGGATTACATTAGCATTGTATGCCCTTGATATACAAAAGTAACGAAAGAAATTAAGAACTTTTTATTTCAAAATATATAGCCATATACCCATGTTGTTTTTTCTGTTCCATTCGGTGATGTAAATATATAACGTACTTATAAACAAAGTTTGCTGATCTGTACTGCAAGCATAATTCGAAAAGCCATTTACAAACCATCTGTCAAACTTTACCGAAGCAGTTTGATAGACGTATACATGTACAATGTATGGGTATTTATAGCTCAAGTTGATTAGTATTCGAGCTCTTAAGACACGATTTGTTAATGCGATCCAATACATGAATACGTCTGTCGAACAAACTAGAAGGTTTAAGCCAATAAATACTATTATTTGAAAATTTTACAATTTAGAGTGATTTCACAATAAATTTCCATATACCCATGCAGTCCTATTTGTTCCGACTTTTTATTTACTTTTCTACATTAAAATATAAGTAAACACTATTCAAAATCAGTATGATTTATCACAAAAGAAATAGTCACTGATATATGTCTGTAACCAACGACACACTTTTTCATAAACAATAATTAATCTATACGAAACATCAACGAGTGTTTATCATTTAGTTTTGATTAATAGAAATTGCTGTTTATTTGAGTTATGATACCACACCTTGTATAAACATTTTTTTTACCACAGTTT